TTTTTTCCTTCAAAATCTAAATGATTAGAAAATAAAATAAGAACCCCTCTACTATGGTTTGACCCATGACTAAAAAACATTGGCCCTCCCCAATCTTGTTTCCACCGCTCTTCTATCTCTACTGTACTATATGTTTCTTGTAAGAAAATTATACTATTCTTTTTAGTTTTGCACCATTCAAAAATATTCACTCTTTTTAACCTATCTCTTATTCCTCTAACATTTAATGTCATGAAAGATAATTTCACTGCCATGTTATTTTATGTGTAATTGTATCCAAAACCTTACATCGATAAACTCCAAAGAAACTTCCACACAATCTATTTCCACCGTGAGCAAATGTATAGAAAAAACTATCTGCAGCCAAACAAACATGCATACTTATCGTCGAATTATATAAAAAATGCAAACAGAATCCACCCCGTACCACACAACCCAACGCATTAAGCATATTCACTACACACACAACACCCCCACACAAAACAACCCAAATCTGCTCTTCGGTGTACGTAAACATCCGAGAGCAAGAGCCTCCCCCTTTCCCTGTCAATTTAACTAGACCAATGACAGAATAAACCAATGAACATTTCTTCTTGCACAAGTCGATGAGAAATACGTTGTATTGTTATATAACCGTAATCTAATTTAAAAAAAAATATATATACAAAGAGCTTTTAACCCTTAACAAATGCCTTGAATTGTATTACGGAACCCGCTCGTCATAACTAAGTTAAATGATTTTCCTAAAATGCATTACAGTGAATTGACCGGCCCGCGTACCTAATCACAATACGCACCTTCTAATTAAAAATAAAAACACGATCCCAATAAACCAAATTCCCCCAAACGACACCAGTTCGGCAACCTAATAAACTGTTCGTGCAAACCGAACCCATCATGCTATCATTTACCAAGTTCTATAATTTGCATAATAAGCCTCACCCATGAATGAATAGGCTCACACACCTGATCGTTTTGTATGCACTCCGTAAAAAAAAAACTCCTAAAGGGCGTTCCCGACAACTCGAAAGAACACCAAACGTCAGCCCGACATAATGATAGGCAAGCATGCATACCGGATCCCAAGACGTTCCTACCTCTCAAAACATCACACCACCACCTGGCTTTAAAAAAAAATAGTTTTGGCTGGGTGAACATATCGGACCATTATCCAGATACTCGAATTGTTTTCACTTTACAGAAAAAGTTTTAAATATGTATCAGTCATTTACTAAGATATGTGAATTTACATAGAATGCGTTATCGAAATAAAGCTCATTGTAATATCAAAAAAAGCCGTCGTTACCCAGATACTATGGCATTGTATAAAGGCGTTGCAATATACATCGTGAAAGAAAGCGGACGTTCAAAAGAGTTTATGGAAAGTACCTTGCAATAAAGCTCATTGTAATACCAAGAGCCGTGTTACCCAGATATTATGTTTTGCATAAATAGGCGTTACCACAAAGTACTTGAATATCGTGAAAGAGAACAATCCCCAACAGACCAGCAAGGTTTATGGAAACACACACACACACACACACGCACACACACCCATCTCAGCTTGAGTTTCTGATGTTATTAGCGAGGTCTTGAGAAGTTGGGTTTACCGATCGAATTGATGAAATAAGTTGAAACTATATATCACATTATCTGTGGCAGATCCAGGGGGTAATTGCTACTCAAGAAGTTATCATCACCGCCACCACCATCAGCAATCACCATCATTACCATCAACATCAGCACCTTCGGTATCAATTATGAGCGGGGTTAAAATGTATTTTCGATGGAAAAGATATAAGATATATTTATGTAGTCACTGTGTCATCTCGTTGTCAAATAGAAAGATATTCGGGCACCTCGATAGTTACCATCACATTTGGAGGTATTGCCTGAAATCATCCTATTTTGATTCTAAATGTTGCGAGGGAGGATAACGAGAGAGAGAGAGAGAAAGAGAGAGAGAGAGAAGGGGGGGGGGGAGAGAAAGAAAAGCTCTTTATTATGTTCAAAATGTTATTTCCTTGTGAAATTACATTCTCTCGTTGTTTCTAATATTCAATTTTCTTGAAATAGACGTTATTCCATCAATATGTTTTGGTATATATTTTAGATATAACCCAATCTCACATGGATCCCTAGAGGTGCCTTGCGGCCCCCTTGCGGCCCCCTTGCAGCACCCTTGCGGCATCCCGATTGAAAACGCTATACTACATGGTCAAAATTTGCGAGGGCATATTGACCAGGCCGGGAGAAACTATATACCCCATTGCTGGATAAATGATACATTTTAAAGTATAATGGACACACATAATATTAATAATATTCCGCTTTTAAATAGCGCTTAATACATCGATGATGTCTCTAAGCGCTACAGATACATTATAACTCCGGTCATCGGATTCAGGCTTGCCCGCACACATTCTCCACTTTCGCATCCTACCGGATACACCTGGGTCGAGTGAGGCAAATGTAGATTAACGTCTTGCTAAAGGACATCAGTGCCGCGGCGGGACTCGAACCCCGTACCATGTGATCTGCAGGGACTTATCCACTAGACCACAACACCTACACATTATATACTCTCTCTCTGTCTCTTTATTCGTACGTCTAGTATCTTTCACCCCCATCTCCAATCGTTTTTTCTTCACTGTTGTAGGCCTACACTACAATTACTATAGGACGCCGATCTGATCACCCCAAAGCATTTTTCGATAATTTGACAAAAAAAGAGGTATATTCCCATGGAGATGTGAGTTTTTACAGCTAATCTCTTCCTGTACTGATGAATACTTTGTCAACTATTTATGTTAGTATTGATCGGGTAGGCCCTCTTGTGCCTTGACTAAACTTTACCAACTATTACATAAAGTATGTCCTCATACAATAATTTATTGTATTTGAACTTGGTGCCGACCACATTTACCCGGGAGTTTGCAGCTTATTTCAATATAATTATATGCAACGGTCGAATATACTAATGGCGCCCATCCAACAGAACTATAGCATGTATACGAAACATTTTTCGTACATATTAATTTAGAATATGTCATACGCTGTGAGATAATGTGTCTGTTATTTCAACCTTGAAACTCTTGTCCCTGTTTTCCCAGCTATATCTACAGGCAAACCAAAAACACTACATCGGAAGATCTGCTTACTCAATAACCCACATAGGCCTCTAATATTCACAAGCCACAAACTTGACTATCAAATTTATTTGATGATATCAAGAAACACTGTTGTATGGCTGTTATACTTCCTCAATCCAGAAGTTATTATTACTATTACTATTACTGCAGTATTATCATAATCACTTTCATCATTGCTTTAAAGGTACTATGTCCCATTTGCAGGCCAAAAAAATGAAAAAGTTAAATTCCAACTGCATTTGAAAGATAATACTAATTTAGAACTTCCCTAAAAAAGGTGGGGCTTGAAAATGTCTTCATATGGGAAAATAACGACTATTAGTTGTCAAATCGACTTTAGGGCTATAGAGCCCAAAAGTAATAGTCTTGATTTTCAGACAATTGTACCGAATGGTCATACGTTTTATGCTGCGCAAAGATTCAATCAGTTTAATCTTGGCCTTCACAAGAAGTGGGTTATTGATGTAGACAAATGCTCATGTACCCTTTACAACTGTTTTCATGTATGTTTTCATGTATGTATGTACCAAAGAAGAAAAAAGCCAGTCAGTCACTCAATAGTGTCTGACAGTGAAGTCTAGCAAGTAAACGGGTTTCCTTGCATAATTTGAATATGAGGACACTGCTAACGTTTAAATTTCACAGATAGGATATACATGACATATTCATAATTCCTGCAAAGTTCTACAGAATTTGAGGTTGGCTGCAAAAGGGACATAGTACATTTAACTATCAATTTTGAGATCACATTATAAGCAAAGATATTGAAAATACCATAGCTAAACCTAAGTTGTTGAAAAAATAGAATTCACTCAATAAAAAACCCAGAATCTGTCTTTTACGACCACATAGGAATTGTCTGGGAGGGGATCCTATTTTAATTAGTTTCAAGTTCTTGCTCTCTGGCTTTTTTAAAAATCAACCTACATCTCCCTCTCTCTTTCCTCAATCTTCCCCTCCCCCTCTTTCTCTCTCACCCCGTTTGAGTCAAGTTAAATTCACTCCCCGAACCTTGTATCTTAGTATTTCTTCTTATCCTCCCTCTGTCTCATCTCTCTTTCTCTTTCTCTAACTCCCCATCTCTTTCCCCCCATCTCTCATTTCCACTCTCACTTTCTCACCCCTCTCTCTCTTTCTCCCCCCCCCCTGTCTCACTTTCACTGTTCGATTGGGGGTATACGAAACTATCACGGGGTAGAAGCAGGGAACAAAATACAACCAAAGGATACAACAAAATGGAAAAGGATTATTGAACATTTTATTAAAAATATAACAAAATGAAGAATTGATGCGACTGCGTCCAATATTGGTCCGAAGACAATGCTGCTATCCAATGTTATTATGTGAATGGATCTTAATATATACAGTCCATAAACATAATAATTATGATAAAATAGTAAACTATCAATGTCAAAAGATAGTGAAATACTGATTTGGTAAAATCTAATCGCAGAGCGTCCTCTTTTGGTCGATTTCTGTAAAACACCTTCGATCAGAATATTAAGAGGTAATCTGAAAAACACAAGTGCATAATAAAACACAGATCCTCAACAGCGTGTGCTTACTGTTTATTTTCATTTGCTAAAATATTCCATTAAAAAAGACATGTACGTGTTCTTTTGCCCAAGTCGAGTCAAATGCTGGGACTATTTCAAGTTCGTGATTATAAAAAATGATTAAAATTTTGTATCTATAAAAACTTCAAATAACATAGATCACAAGGGGCCGCGACAAGTATTTGTAAGAGTTATACTTTAAAATTCCATGATATAGATAATCATTTAAAAACTGTTCCAATCATTGCAATGAAACCATCCCCATACATTAAAAAAAAAAATGTATGCATTGAATTCTAATCTATTATTTTAATGTGTTAAAAAACGATAAAATACATTAGTATTGAATATAAACACTGTTTAAAATGATTTTTATTAAAACACACGCGGATTTGTTTCCACCCACAACTATGTTTTTATATGAGTAAATTGAGGTGAACTATCTCTTTATGCGTCGGGTTGTGGAGCGAAGCTCTGCTCGTACCTCGTCCATTTATCCTGTCCAACCCTGCAAAATAAATAAGAATAAGAATTGTATTAATAAGAATAAGAATCCCGACAGAGCACTTAATTCGTTTGACAAGGCATCAATCTATATTTGCCACTCCATACCCCGATACCCCGGGGGGGGGGGGGGACCTGGTAGGATGACGAATGCCTTTGTGACAGAAATTGCCATAATTATCACGGTGACCATGGCAGGAATACTCCTCAGGGAGTGGAAATGCTGCACATTCTGCGCGCGAATGAATCCGATCACCGGGGTTATAATACTATTTGTTAAGCGCTTAGATTATGATAATCGCATTCGGCGCTACATAAATCCAAAATTCAAAATACTGATAGTACATGTATCAATAAAAGAATCAAAAAAGGAAAATGATAAAAAATGAGGGGGGGGGGGGGTAAGAGCACAATTTGTTGTTGTCACGGAAATTTGACAATTTGCCCTTCCAACCCATCCAAATCACACACATAACAAAATTGAGGGGGATTCGACCCCCATCCCCCCCCCCCCCTCCTGCGTACGCGCCTGGTCATACTGCAAATGGGCTAGATTATGGCGGTCTAGATCAACGGCTGAGAAAGCATCCTTAATTCCGGGGAGCACGGAATAGTCATGACTGTGTACAGTCATGTTGATGGTGAAAACAACCCTTGGTGAAAACATTTCCTATTCGTATCATCAACATTACTCCATATACTCACTTGTTAGCTCTCTTGATCTCCTCACAGGTACTGACCATGCTGCTCTCGATCCATGTGGTATATAAGACCTCTTGACCATCACATAGATGACACTGACCAGTCCAGCTGGTGGTCGTGCGTCCATTATCACGGACTACGGTGATTCCGAATGATGGGAAGTCGTAATTGTTGCTTGCGTAGCCGACCATCACGGTAGGGGCTGGATAAAATGATAACAATTACAATGATAACGATTGAAATAAAAATAATATCATTAACAATAATTACATCAACAACAATAATAATAACAACTATATACATAATAATAATAATAATTGGATTTATATAGCGCCTTTTCCAAAGGATACAAGGCGCTGCTCTCTTAGACTATCAACAATAATATTTAAGAGGAGTTGTACAGGTTAGTTTTCAGTTGTTTTTTGAAGAAATCTAGTGAAGTACTGTTTCTTAAGAACGAGGGAGTTTGTTCCAGAGACGTGGGGCTAAGGACTACTATTACTACTACTATTACTACTACTACTACTACTACTACTACTACTACTACTACTACTACTACCATTGCTGATTCAGCTACTACTACTATTACTACTACTTCTACTAATACTACTATCACTGCAACTTCTTCTACATAGTACTAATATAACTACTAATATAAATACTAGACCTACTGCTACTTGGAACGTATATAGCTCGCTCAAATGTAATAGAATATAATCATTGACGGATATAAGGTGTATACAGCGAACCCATGCAACTTTAGAAACACGAGTGTATACTTATTGCTCGTTCAAAAATGACGCGGCAAAATCACAGATTTATAAATAATTAAGAATATGTAAAGTGTATTAATACGCTTCACAATCCTGCATATTATAATACAAAGTTCAGCGAATGAGCCCAAGTCCCTAACTGTTGCAAGATAATTTCTTTGTGCGAATCAGATTAAGAATAAAAAAATAGAAGAGTAAATTAGCACCACAATGCATCTGTTTTGCTCGTCATATATTTTTTGCAGAAATTATACAAATCAATCCTAGTTCTGGGCCCTGTTTCATAAAACTTGATATCAATAACAAGTTACAAGCTACTGTTATAAGCTACTGAAATCATGGCATCTGATTGGCTGAGAGCAAATTTGTCATAGAAATTTAGCAGTTGTTATAGATAACAAGTTTTGTGAAACAGGCCCCTGGCCCTACAGGAAGTCTAATGTATTTGTATGTACCTGCGACTCCGAGTTCACGTTCAGTGAAAGTCATGTGATCTCCAAGCATCATTCCTGTCGAGGTCTTGATGATGGTGATCTGATCATTACACTCGTTATACCACAAGCCTTCCAAGTCACAGAATCCAACTGGAAAGAAACGGTAAGAAGAAATTGATATGAGGTGTGACATTATAATTATTACCATCGTCATCGTCATCATCATCATCATCAGCATCATCATTATTTATTAAAGTTGGTATTTTCTCTCTGACGAGGGGTTACTGACTTTCCCACCAGGATGACGCTCCCATTCTCCACCTCTTGTCTCGAGCATCCTCCTCATTTAGACCAACTTTGTTGCTATTTTAGTTATAATATCATATAGCACCTTTTTCACTGGCTATCTTAGTTACAATATAATTATATAGCGCCTTTTTCACTGGGTGCAATGTGATTTAAGATGCATTCCTTCGTCAATGTTCGAGCTGAAATATTAACAAGTTATCGCAGTTGTTCACATTGCTATTACGCTACTCTTCCACATAGTACAGTAAGCAGAATGAAAAGCTCACAAACTACAATTCAACCTTACTAGCGCTGTCTTATAAAGAGTTACGATTGGTCTGAATATTGATCGTAAGTCCTCCCATTAATCGCCGAAAACTTGTTAACTCGTATTGCTTTTATGGAGAGTTACGAACGATTTGAATAAGTCGCATAACTCAAAGGACTCAACATTTTCTTTTTAAAAGACCCGTAAAGGTGTATCTATAAACTGGGAAAAATGCAATGTCCTTATTTTCTTACCTTCTTCGCAGTTCACACCGGCGTATCCTTGACGACATTGGCAGATGTACATGGCTATACCGTTGATACATTCGCCACCGTTCTGGCACGGTAGACTAGCGCATTCGTTAATATCTGGAATGGTGAAATAGAAAATATTAGGACAACTGATAATAATATTTATTCATTTATTTACAGTTTTATTTCAGCAGAGTTTCCTATTTAGTTTACAAACTGCTATCCCCGAGGGCCCTGTACAATTAAAACAACGTATATAAAATATTTACTGATCTAATAAGTACAAATTGAACACACAGATAACATAAGAAACACAGATTATGAAAACAAAGATAAATAATATAAGAAGAAATATTGTGAATACGATATTTTAAAGTATGAATAATTATAAACATATGGTATGATCATATGCAACCTCAGTGGTTATCAAGATATTAAAGATAATGGTATATTTATGAGAGTAACAAATTACGCATAGTATTTCAAAATATTAAATGCTTTTGGGATAAGGACTTAAAGGTATGATATTTATCGTTGATTTGAAATCTATATTGCTATGTAGATAAGCATTAGGTTAACAAAAAAATGCTAAACCTTCTATAATTTCAGCTGTTTGTGTGGGTAATCTTGACAAAAATTGACAAGAGCTGTATTTAGTTTTATATACTAAAGACAAGAAACATGTGGAAGTTAAATTTCCATTTAAGCTTAATCGGAGAGCCTTTGTAATTTTACTATATTCCTGTGACCATTATGAATGCAAAGTTTTAGACACACACATTACATGCTACATTATCCCTCTCTAATAATTAAGACGAGTTGCCAATTTGATCATGAAATGTATTCTTCCAATACGTACCGATTTCGCAATTAATGCCAGTATATCCTGGTAGACATTCACAAACGTAATCGCCACCAACGTTCGTACATACTCCGCCATTTTGGCACGGCAGACTCACGCAGGCATCCAGTGCTAACAAAAGAACACGAAAGCATAAAGGTTTAGTAAATGACAAAGTACTCGGTTCAATTCCCCACACGACACTTTGGAAAGAAATGAATGTAAATTTTTCACTCTCGACTCAGAGTAAATGTTTTCTTTTTTATGAAGGGTAGCTTGTTAAAGCCGGAGTATGGACTGGTAGCTTTCATCAATAAGTTGAAAGTTGACCTGTTTAGACAATCCTATTCCTTTATCTGTATGTCTATAGAAAATATAATGTTTTTCATTTGTTCATTTTAACACAAAACCATATATTTCTACCACCGTAATAATACACGGTGTAATCATCAAGGGACAATGACCCATTGGTATGTCAGATAACGGCCTGAACGCGACCTCAGACAAAACATTTGTGCATTAAATGTGATTGATACTGAAAGTGTTAAAATAAAAGTTCAGTCAAACAGTTCATACTTACATATCTCGCAGTGAGTGCCCGTGTAGTTTGGAAGACATTGGCAAACGTAACCATCAACTCCATCCAAGCACGAGCCTCCATTAAGACAAGGGCTGCTGGCACACTCGTTGATATCTAAAAATAAACGGAAAATATAAGAAATATTGACATTTTTGTGAAATATTGAGCTAAAGATTGTCTTTAAAAAACATTAAAGATTCAAGATTTATTGTTTACATACAATACAGAAGTTTTGTTTTCCTGTGGTGTTACTTGCGATGTAATCATGTGATCGTGTGCTGAGAGCCAGAATGCCGGTAACGCCCCTCCGGCTCTCGGCAGAACAGGTTGTAAAAGAAAGAAGACAATAATCAAGCTCAACCTGAAAGAATAAGGTCTTTAGAAGGCTTTGAAATATTAGGTTTACAAAACAGATCACTTCTTTCTTTTCTTTAGATGATTTTGAATATTAACGAAAACATAATTCGAGCAGTGGGAGCCTCTCAAAATGTATATCTTTTGAATGAATCCTCAGGTCTTTTCTTTTCAATGATATTCATTCAGTAATATTCGTTAACGAGCAAAATATCCTCTCCCCCCCCCCCCCCCAAAAAAAAAAAACACTCTCACACACAAAAAACACGAAACAAAACAAACAGAGCAAGTTTGTTTAACGAGAAAAGTCAAGAGATTAAAGAGTTATATGGTCAGTTTGTCGGGGAAAAATAAATGCGTAACCTATTATAGATTGTCAAAAAACACCCTGTAAAATGCAATTCATACTTACTTGTCTCACAGTTGCTTCCAGTAAATCCAGCACGGCAATCACATGTATATCTGTTCACAGCGTCAGTACAGGAACCGCCATTTTGGCATGGGCTGCTTGCACATTCGTCAATGTCTGTATGATGTAAATTAGGGTTTCAGGGAAGAAGCAAATAACCGTCAAAACTCTAATAATGATAAATACGATGTAACAACCGTTGGGCTGGGGGGGGGGGGGGGCATCTTTCCAGGGCCAGCTGAAACAATGTCGTTATTTTAGATTTCTTACGTATTCATTGCGTAAGGAAAGGGAAATGTACCCCCTGTTCTGGTTCTTCTGGCAGAAATTTTAGTCCCCATGAGGCGCCTGGAATATGTTTTCCCTCTTTCCTTCTACTACATGTCTTTGGGTGTTGATGATTTTGTTTCACTTGTGCCGACACCCTAGCCCCGCCATAGAATCCTGGATAAGCTACTTTTAATATGCTAACGAATCAAACTAATTAAATATCGGTCTTATTTCTAAATTTCAACGTCTTTATTTTCTTTAACATGATAGTAATTTTACGTCAATATATGTGATTTTATACCCATATTAGATAGCAAGTTCAAAACTTGTTTTACAACATAAATCGTTAAATGCACAGGAGTGGAAAATAAAACTATGTGTGTAGTCAATTTGTTTTGAAGTTGAAATCCATGCTAAAAAATAAAGTGGACTCTAATCTCAAGAGACATTCATCCACTATACTTTGGAGTAGATTCACTTTATATCATGGATATCATGGATTCACTTTATCACTTGACTCCCTGACTAAAGCCACTAGGCTAATCGAAGATAGACAGGTGTGGCAAGCCGTTGTGAAACAGAAGCCCTCATACATCCCAGTGATGGTGTGGACGGTTTAAGTCAAGTAAGTCATGGAGTGTTCTCGATTCCGAAGGACAATGAAGGAAATGATCCTTGGTGTAACTCATTAATTTAAAATGGATTACAACTCCCCTGCTTTATGAAAGTGTCTTCTACGTAAACTTACTGACATTCTGAAAACAAAGTGATTGGGTAGTGTGAGATATAATTATATATAGTCAACTTCACAGATTAAATTCGCGGGAAAGTATACCTTCAAATAAACAAACTAATAAAGTCAGTCACACCGCTAAACCGATTCCAACCAGACTCAGACCGACACATTTTGGGCCGTAGGGTTAATGTTATTTTTTAATCTATATCCGTTGTCGGTTTGGTGTCGGCATTGCTGATGTGACTGAAGTATAAATTGTTACCGGTTTCACAAAGGATTCCCGTGTATCCAGGGAGACAGGTGCAGGCGAACTGGTTGATACCATCCACACAGATCCCTCCATTCAGACAAGGAATGCTGGCACATTCGTTGATATCTGGTTAAAAAAAGCATCGAAATAAACATGAACATATTGTTTGTTTCAGGATTTATTCAGGGAAACCTCATCAGCATCACTGCATTTCTTCCTGAGGGCTTTGTTATTATCACGTATTGTTATCAATTGCCAGGCACCCATTTACACCTGGGTGGAGAATGGCTAATATGGATTAAGGTTTTGCCAATGGACGTTGGTGCCGGACTGGGATTAAAACCCTGAACCATTGGATTAAAATTCAAGTGAATGAACTATTATACAACTCCACTTTCACTTGTGTTGTCTATTTTTTTTCTCGTGCTATTTATGTCAGTTCAGAAGAATAAAATAGTAGAATATTAATGTTCCCTGAAAAAGTCTTCACATGCCCTCATATTCAAAATATAAAGAGAAACAGCTGATCGGTTTGGACCAAAGCCTCACAGTGTACATCAAATCATATTTCTTATATCATCAACCTTCGACTAGAGTTTCTAGGCAGAAAATCAAGAGAAATTATTAAAGTGTTCCCAGCCGGGTCACACTCCAATGACAAATAATTCAGTTTAACATTCACAAACAGAAATTTAGTGACCTCAACTTTCATCAGGTTCACAACTTTGAGTGTAGTATCAGCGATCATGGTGGATATACTGAATTGTAGGTAAAACAAAATCAGGGTTACAAGATGTCATCCTTTTAAATGAATAAAAACCCTGAAAAGGGCTGGTTAGCTCCGCTAATAGCTATGTCTTATCGAATTTTCGATCAGTATGCATTGATCTTCGCCAAGAGATTATATTCTGATCGAAGAGTCAAGAACCCTTAGCGGAGCTTACCACCCTTTTTAGGGCTCTTATTCCTTTGAAATGATAACAGGGTGTGTCCCTGAAAACTTTACCTACAATTCACAACTTTTTCCGATTGTTTTGTTTATACTTTTACCAATCTGTTTCATTGATGTTGTTTTTCTCGCGTAATTCAACGAACTGAAACTGAAAACTGAAACCTATTTTCATGATTAGTATAAAAACGGTATTTTAAAAGGGACAAAGAGAAAAACGTTCCTCTTCACAATATAAAAAGGGAAGAGTACTTACTGTTTTCGCAGTTGACTCCATTGAATCCAGGAATACAGTTACAGGTGTATCCATTGACCTGGTCTACGCATGCACCACCGTTACGGCAAGGGGCGCTAGCACACTCATCAATATCTGGAAGGGTAATGTTGTTAAACATAATTTAGAAATGACCCATAACTTAATCCATATTGGATGCCTTAAATTATAAGTTAGGTAATTAGTAGAAAGTAAGATAGTACTACTATCGGGTATATTTGGTCAGAAGTACCCTTTCCTTTGTCTGATGAATTTACATGTATGGATGTTTATTCGCAGAACGTCCTAATGAAGAATTACTTAACGAATCTGCAATTATAAATCATCATCTAACCCCCCCCTAAAAAAAATATAATAATAATCTACAATTCATTTATATATAGATCGAAAAAGTCATCCATCAAGTTTTCTTGTCGTCAATACAAAACTTAACATGCGTGAGAGGCAATTTGAAGTAAGTCGATATTATCAGTCAAGTCTCTATTTCATTTTACACATTTTTGCTTAAATAAATTGTTACATATTTGTGATGTATGACTAAAAAAGAAAGAAGGTAAAATCAATAAGCAGGATAAGCAGGATTCTTTATAAGGTATGTGTTGTAGCATTGTATAAGTATCTCCATTTTGACAAGGACTATGTTGAAGGTTGGAGTGAGACATTAATTTTTCTGGAATGAACATTTATTTCATCAATGAAAGATCACGAAAGATGATCGATTACGTAGGTAAAATTTATGATTATTAATGGGTAATATTAATGATAGGATATTAAGTTTAAAAAGGGTAGGGATTGATCCTGGATTCTTTGAGGGGGATACGACCCCCTCCCCCAAAAAAAAGTTTTTTAAAAACTTTGATTTTCTTCCAAAAAAAAAATCACAAACAAACCAAAAAGAAATTGAATAGACAATTTTTAGGTGCCTATGGGTATAGAATTTTAAGGGGGATAGACAATATGATGAGAGGGAAAGATGTTTTTTAATGTAAGGTATGGTGGATTGAGTTTTAATGGGGGCATAGGGCACTTGTGTCTCTTGAAATCCCTCATTTGTCAAGTCAATGCTTACCTGTTTCGCAGTTATCTCCGGTGAATCCAGGAGCGCAGATACATTGATAATCATTGACCTGGTCAACGCAAGTTGCGCCATTCAGACAGGGGTTAGGGGTACAGTCGTCTCCATCTATTTAAAGGATACCAGATAAAGAGTTATTATGTATACAGTTTGATTAAACCCGAACCCCTACAAAGGTATACCGTCCATAGCTTTATTACGTTAACGTAAATTAATTCATAATCCTCTCCAACCGCCGCTATAGTTCTTTCTTTAGAACTATAAGCTCAAGAAAGATTACCAACAGTCCTTTTCAGGACTACACACAGTCATACTCAAGAAAGAAAGATTACCGACAGTCCTTTTCAGGACTCCCCAATCCCCCCTTTCTCTCTCACACATGGTACAACCGTAAGCCTACTGCATTATCTACATCTACATGCAAGCCGAAACAGCATCTAATCTGGCTTGTCGCACAAGAAAATAGTAGACCTACAACCTGGGCCCGTTTCACAAAGCCTCTTTTCAATGACAAAATACAAAATTAGGTGACAAATCTGCTGATAGCCAACCAGAAGCAAGGATTTCAGTAGCTTATAACAAAAACTGACATGTGTCACTGATGACAAGTTCTATGAAACGCCACCCTGGTATGATAATAAATTCAATGCTCTCATACATGTACATGTATTTCTATCACTCTATAATGATTTCATTATCTTTTTGGCGTGATATAAAATCTTTGCTGATATGATTTAGATATTTTAATTACAATTTACTAATGAAGTAATTGTATTCTGGAAACGGTTAGAGCTAGATGGTTCCATATTTTGTTTTATTTCACTGGATGTTTTCAACTAATCAACCATTCTATTCCATGGTTGGACCGGAACAAAGAATCGGTAAGGGAATATCAATGTCACCGGCCAACTTAAAGTGTAATATACGCATCAACCAACCCTCAGACCGCAAATCGACCGGCCCTGACGCCAAAATAAAATAGAGCGACCGGTGTGGGAAGCCTCCGCAAGCTTTTAATGGCAAGACCGCGACGCCCCTTAATATACGGGTCGATCTTCTAAGGATATGTTTATGCTCAACCTTTTCTGGCCAGATTCAGGCATCTGTTACGCGTTTAGTTCAAAACACGGTTGCGTCCTTTCTCACTTTTGTAGAATCACCGAAAAACGGCGATCACGATCGCCGATCGTAAACTCACAAAAAGGTGCGTTTACAATTTGTAAACGCGTTTAAATGGGGTCAACGCACTGACCTCTAGTGGGTCTACGTAGCATGCACAGTGCAGGTTTGCGAATCCAGCTGCAATGCCAAATAAGGCCACCCAGCGAGAATTGCCTGGAGGAGCCAGAGAAGTGAGCATAAACAGTACACCGTGGAACTGCGATTACGATGAGCGTTTACGATGAGTGTTTCAAATCACTCACTCTGCCTTCAAAATTCAGCTTAAACGCACCCTTAAAAAAAAATCAGAGCATTATCGCCTGACTACGTTGGTATCTTACCTGATGAGAATGTGATTCTGAATCCCTTCCGGGGGATGTTACGATCTGTCGAGAAGATGAACCAGGCTTGTTCTCCCTGGACTGAGAACGGAGGTGGGACCTGGTTATTTGCAGTCAGGTTTCCTTCGAAGGTTGCCAGAGCTTGGTTGAAATCAGCGACAGGGCCCACACCGTACTCAACAGCATCTGTGAAAAAGAAAAGATGGGGGTTGTTAAAAGTGTATATTTCAGACTGAGTGCCTAAACGACTTAGTTGAAATAGTTGAAATAGTTGAAATATTTATTGGTTACTGAATCATCATAGGTTATAACAATAATGTGACAATGTCTTTACATGAGTATAAAACATAAGTTGAATTACATTTCCACATTCAGTAAATCATAGATACATACGCTCAAAGAGGTGATGATACAGAAGGGCTACAGCCTAAGCGTGACAGCTTGATACGCTTGCAGCCCAGAAACATTTAAAATCATAACGATTGTAAAGTAAAGTAAATTACAGAACATAATTGGGGGAAAATAACAAAAAATAAACAGTGACTTGCAACCAAAAAAAAAAATGGGATAGAGGGTGCATGGGAGGGGGATTTTCCTGCTATATCAAGGAAATGCTGACAAACATATATGATATCATGTGTTAATTTAAGAGATTTGTCAATATTTGCTCAATAAAATTGATTTCACACTTTTCTTGAAAGTATAAATCCCATTGTGAATACAGGCGCAGTTTTACAAAAAAGAATGAGAGAAGGGGGGGGGGGGGTTAAGTTCTTGCCCTCATCTTTATGATCCTCGCTTAAATTCAGTTGCATTAAATAAGCAAGATTTTTTGTCTGCTGAAGCCCTCTGCCCTTTAACCACTTTACTGTGTATGATAGCAAACGTTACATTTCTGTTTCTTTCTTTTCATTATTCCCTTCTGGGCCATTAAGCCTTTAGACAATATTGTCAAAGCCAACTTCCAGGAGGGAATTTTTGACTTTTTATGACAAATGCTTTGTATGACAACCGACACCACATGATCAGGGTTCTGTGATCAGATTCACAGTAATTTACGTGTGAACACGCGCTTGTCCTACCTACTTCCACTTTCACATTACTTTTAAAGACCATTTCACTTTACAATTGCAGACCTCATTCACAATACATTTCCAATGCCTCTTTCACATTACAATTAAAGACCTCTTTCACATTACAATTAAAGACCTCTTTTACATTACCATTAAAGACCCTTTGAAATTTCCATTAAAGACCTAGCTCGGTCATAAAGTCCTCTTTCACAAAACAATTCAACGACCTCTTTCACAATACCTTTTAAAGACCCCTTTTACATAACCTCTAAAAGATTCCTTTCACATTACCATTAAAGACTTAATTCATAATACCTTTAGAAGACCTCTTTAACATTACCATTAATGACCTAGCTCGGTCATAAAGTCCTCTTTCACAAAGCAATTCAACGACCTCTTTCACAAAACAATTCAACGACCTCTTTCACAATACCTTTTAAAGACCCCTTTCACATAACCTCTAAAAAATTCCTTTCACATTACCATTAGAGACGTCATTCGCAATACCTTTACAAGACCTCTTTTACATTACCATTAAATACCTAGCTCGGTCATAAAGTCCTCTTACACAAAACATTTAAACGACCCCTTTCACAATACCGTTTAAAGACCCCTTTCACATAGCCCCTAAAGACCCCTTTCACATTACCTTTAAAGATCTCGGTCGCGAAATCCTCGATGGTAAAGGTTATGACACGTGCACCCTTGATCCGGACGAGGTAGAGACAGTCGGCTCGGTTATTGTAATTGGCCGGGTAGTTGGGAGACTCGATCACTCCAGTCGATTCGAAGATATTATATCCGCAGTTTGCACCTAGATATTTTAAAGGGAGGCAATAATGTTGAATAGATAAAGTAAGATGCATGATAATGATCAATATATAAATCGAAAGATAGATAAATAAATGAATGAATACATAGATGAAATAAACAAAATTAAAGTCATAAATGGAAACATAAATAAATTGAATGCTTCAAGCGCTGTGCTAAAGCAAAGGTAATAATACTACTTGGGGGGGGGGGGGGGGCTTTGAGCATCTGCAGGGGTGAATACGTGCGAAATATAAATGGAGCTGTGATTATTATCATTATTATCACCATTATTATTATCCTTATTATAAATGTTTTCATTATTATTGTTACCATTAATATGGTTGTTTTGTTAATGTCATAAAAATTATTATTTCATTATTATAATATTGTCATTGTTATTTTTATTATTATTATTATTTTAATCATTATCATTATCATTTTAAAAACTGAAAACTTCAATTTCATTACCTGTGAAACGATCGCAGTTTTGCCCATCATAGCCCATCTGGCATTCACAGATGTATGTCCCTTCTCCGTCTTGACACACTGAGCCATTCTCACACGGGTTACTGCCACATTCACCTGCAGGAGAGAGAGAGAGAGAGAGAGAGAGAGAGAAAAAAAGGAGAGAGAGAAGTAGTAGCAGTAGAAGAAGAAGAAAAAAAAGCAAAAAGAAGAAGAAGAAAAAGAAGAAAAAGAATAAGATGGACAAAAAGAAAGACGAAATAGAAAATTAGAGAGAAAGTGAGAGAGAGAGAGCGAGAGAGAGATAGGGAGAGATAGAGGAAGGGAGGGAGGAAGGGAGCGAGAGAGAGGGAGAGAGAGAGAGAGAGAGGGAGAGAGAGAGAGAGAGAAGTTAAACATGAGGGTGTAAACGAGATATCGTAATAAAACGATCTTCATTTTTTATTTGTTCATCTCGTGAAATGTATCTGTAATTCCATTAAAAAAAAAAATTAAAACAAACAGACTCTTTTTTGTTCTCCCTTCCTCTTTCTTCGTGTTGCTGCATGACCAATATTCTTGAATCCTTCGAGAAAACAGAACACCTTCTTCATTTTCAAAGACGATCAGGTCTAGTAAATTTAAGTATTGTGTTGTATGCTGAGACCCCACACATAAAAGTACCAGCAAGAAAGATACTAATGGGCCTAATTCACAACTCGCTATTACAAATGATCAAGAGGTTTAAGAAAACATAGACCTCTAGAGGACAAAGACTAAATCGCTTTAGGCAGATCAGACCATCTCCTTGATCAGACACATATTATACGGTTGGCAGTTAATCTATAATGGTTTTAATTCACATTCCAGTCTATTCATAGCCGTGACTCAGAGTGATTTTGTCTTTGTAAAGAACTAACATCCTAAGGCTAAGGCGAAAACGTAATCTCCAAAAATTCTAATTACCTTGTCACACCGCCCAACCTACTCCACCCCAACTCCAAACTGACCACGTCTTGGCTGTCAGTAATGTTTATAATCTTCTTTATTTTGTTTAAACCTTAACAAAATAATTTTAAAATTAAAATTAAAAATAAATAAATCAAGAAACTAATTAGGAAATGAATGCAAGAACACAAATCATCTCTAAAAGCCCCCCCCCCCTCCCTCCCCCAACAAAAAAAATCGCACGAGTTGGCCATTCGGGGGTAATATAATAACAATTTCCCGATCGGTTTGTTGTTAGCCATGTTGGTGTGGCCGGGGTTTCATCAAGGTGGGTCTAATCATGGACCTATTCGTAGAAGGTCCATGGTCTAATCCAATCCCGGAATCCAATCCTTTAATGGGTCTCGCAATATGGCGCTAACTGAAGCGGCTCATAGGCCATTCTCATTTGAGAAAACAAATCCTTGCTTTACAACCATTCACGCGGGCTAAGTGATCTAGGATTTGAGCTTTTTGAATAGATTCATTAAAAGAAATCCAAACAACAATCCCCTTCAGGAGACTTATGCTAAGCCTAATCCCACATAAGAGGGATCTCGATGAGTCCCTATTTGCAGGGAAACAGCAGATTTACGCTGTTGGGCGCTTGACATGGGAAAATTGTATGAAAGGCAATGTTATATTTGTTTTAGTTTCTTAAGCAAAATAGCAGCTCTTTACAGTTTTTCTTTACAGCTTTACTTAACAATGTATCTACTTCAGTAAGGATAGTTTTGCATATTAAGTACTGCAGGGTATTTCTTTTTGTTGTTTGTCATTGCGGAAGAGAAACTTTCGTTGAACTCTTTTTATTTACATTTGACTGCATAGAGGGTAGGTGTTCGAACAGATTTTTTAGCACCTCTTTAAAAGTACAACAAACACAGGGAATGCGATTTATAGTCCACTCTGTATGGCCTATCTAAAAGCTTGCACGACAGAAGACAATACTGAATAAAAGAATTGAACTAAAAAAATACCCAATCTGAGAATAATTATTTGTCCGACCAACTTTTGATGAGCAATTATATTCCAACTTGTGTGACTTTTGCTCGATTGCTGTTGTAAAGGTAAAACGTAGCCCATGTTTCGGCATAAACTTGTCTGAAGTCTGTTGGCTCTCATATTGGGCAATTTAAGATAAACTTGAGTTCTGGTTATAAAAAAAGAAGATGAATTCTCACAGAGCCAAACGAAACTTACATTAAATGTTCAAGATTACAAATAAATGTCATTTGCTAAACAATTTTGGTAGAAGGTGTATACTGGCTGAGTAATGAGCATAAAAAGATAAGGAAATCAAGGTAAGTAGGGGGTAAGTAGCCCGGCCCTACACCATTTGTGTAGAGTTCCATACACATCTTTCTGTGTACAGTGCTTGTTGCTTTACCAAAATTGGGCCAAATTTATTATGATTTTGATGACTCCAGAACCCTGCAGTACACCCAAATACTTACACGCTACATGATCAACTTTTTCTGATCCATTCCACACCTTTTCTTTCACAATGCAATCGCATGACCAGAACTCAACTTTATCTTAAATCCATTCGGATTATTTAAAAAAGATCACCACTTAATGCCAGCACCAATTACCCTCAGATAAACTACCTATGGGGTAATAAAGGGGGCTAGCAGCCGGGGGATGTATTGTCCGGGGTGTATATAGGAGTCGTTTGTTTAAAGGGTGTAGTTATTGAGGGGAGATAATCCTGGGTATTCTAGAATGAAATGGGCCATAACGCTAAATTCTTAACTCCATCACTGTTCTCAGTAAATCCATAACCAAGGCGTTCGAGAAGTAGTTATTAACTTTTGAAAATTTCGAAAACGCATATAATTACCAAAATCTTTTAAGAACAGATGGAGTTCTGTTCAAGATAAAAGGTAATTTGTGAGCTTTCTTATTCTTCGTATGTCAGTTAATTGGGAAGAATATTATAGCAGAAATGTCCCCCTAAAGGATTACTCTTCAAATCCCATATTCGGAAAATTAATGACAAGAAGTAGTGAGGCATTGAAGGCCACTCCTTCAGGGGAAATTCCTACATGGTATTTTTTCAAACGGAAATAAAAAAGAAAAGGAAGGTTACAAATTCTTTTCACCAGAATTCAACACTCTCTTCAAGGGAATACCGGTTATACTTTGTTGATTTTTAAATGTATCGAGGCGATGAAAGGGCCACATCAATAGAAACATTGTGTGTACTCCTTTGTTGAAAATGCGCTTTAGGTTCTGAGCGTACGTTCCCCGTATTAAATAGAGCATTGTAAATTATTCAAGGAAAAATCGATGCACTCACAATCGTACATGTACAAGTATAAACATATAAACAGAAAAGAAGGGGGGTATATAATTAGGACAAAATGAAGTGACATAATCTCAGGCTATAGGTCCAATCCGTCCCGTAGTGATAATTTAAACTATCATTCGTTTGGAGTGTATGAAAAAGCCCTTCATTTGTTTGTAAATAGCATATATTCCCCGCATTAAATGAAGTACTATATTATAAATTATTCAAGGATCAATCAAAGCTTCACGCACGTTAATGAACACGTATAAACACACAAACAGAGGAGAAATCGCAAAAACAACTGGGACAAACACGGTCCCACAGCACTTTGTCAATGGCGATAACTAACACTTGTATTCTTGAATGAAATGCTCTTTTGTAGCCGGTGCTATAAAGGTTTCTCAGCATACTTTCCTGGGGCTAAATACATTATTCAAGAACCAATACAAAGAGATACTTACAAATAAAGAACATGGAGAAGAAAGGGAAAGTAATTGGGACACATGTAGTGATTCAACCTATCAGAAATAAGGTCCAATGACGTAACAATGACAGGTAATCTTCACTTAAGAATGAAGGCATGCACTACACATTTTTCATCCACTATCTACATTAATTGGGGTCGGCCTATCGAAGATCTAATATATTAGTTACGATTTGTGTTGCTGATGGACTGGTTTCTTTTTATGTTATGTAAGAGCAAGCAAATTAAACTTATCTTTTTAAAAATAATGATTAAAGAAATGAAGACAAATAGAATGGGAAAACTCATTTCTAAATACACTAAAATGAAATTTGGGATGGATATTTCCATTACATGCTTCCCCCAAAAGTGTATTATAAAAGGTTTTACCTTTTATAATACACTTTTTATAGGATCATTACTTCAACTAGTGATATGTTTTACTTCAAATAATATGATTGTTCATTTAATATCGGCCCATGCTGTTTATTTTTATCATTGTTAACGCTCTCGTGCTAGTGAACTTAGGACTGGGGTTTAAAATTACATCCCGAGTTAAAATACATTCTCGAACACAGAACTTCAAGAGTGTAACAATTAATGGATTGACCTCTTTACAATATATTCAAATATTCAAACACCTTTTCTACTTGTTGAATGCCGACATGGTTATGGTGTGTAATTGCAAAATATAAATATTTATAGAAAAAATAATGAAAGAGAGAACAAAAAGAGAAGATGAGGAAGGTGTCTTCAGATATCTTACCTTGCCCGTATGTTGCAGCAACAATACCGAGAAGCAAAACGGCTAGTAAAGACACCTTCATGTCGAAGCCTCAGAGGAGTCAACGTCTCAAGTCGAAAGCGGAGAAAGCTGCGATGCCTTGTACTTGCGCGATGTCTTCGCTATGTTCCCAAGACGCTCTTGGACCCTCAACATCAAACCACGGAGTGACACACCTCAGAAACCTTCCTGATTAAAATGGCGAGAAAATGCCAGCTCAGAGACTGGTCAGAGACTGGTCAGTTGGAGGGATGAAAGCGTGTGTGTCACCCTATTCACCCTCTGTAAAGATGCACCCAGTTGCGAAACATCTTTTGTTGTTGAAGTAGGACAGATACATGACAGTCGTAAACAAGACATTGGGTTCGTTGATGCGTGACGATGTATCCCCGCAATGACCGCACCCATCCTCTGTGATATACTTTGTTCCTATCGATCCATCGCCTGATTCCCCCTAGTCATACTGGATTCATGTCGTTTTTCCGAAGGCTCATCGTCAGATCATTCCAAAAATAAAATATTCAACTCGCTTAATTTACTTCGCAATATAAAAATCAAAGTAACAGTAAATGTTAACTATATTTACAAAGGTTGTATGCGGGGCTCTCCATGAAGGTTGCGAAAGTTGGATCGCCCATTACAGAATGAAAAGCAAACAAGAAGAAATACAAAATATTATAAGCACTTAAAGCAAACAACAATAAATTAAGTCAAACAAGTATAGACACTTCAACTATAAGACGAGAGAAAGTGAAATAGTGAAATAGAATCCTTTTGGAATAATGAATCCTGTTTTATTTCGGCAAAATTGACTCCCTTTCTGAATTATTAACCAGACTCAATTCATTTTCGGAATCAGGAACCCATTTTCATTTTTCGGAATTATGAACCCTCAATTCATTCTAGGAATTATGCACTCTTTTTCATTTTCGGAATCATGGACCCTATTTCATTTTCGGAATTATGCAGCCTTTTTTATAATTTTAGAATTATGACCCTTTAAAACAAAAAATCGGAATAATGAATCCTTTTACATATTCGAATTCATAAACCTTTTTTTTTTTCGTTTTTGGAACCATGAACTGTTTCTCATATACGGATGAATAAACCTTATTTCACTTTTGGAAATATGAACCTTATACATTTTTCGGAATGGTGAACCTCCTGGAATAGGAAAAGTTGTGTTTCAGAATTAAGAATATTTGAACTTTCGGAAAGTAACCCCGTCATATGGATGAGACCGACCCCAGAAAACCGGTGCTAAAGCCGAACATTTACATGACACCTAATGAACAAGAATTGCCCGGAGTTGGATTGGTTTGGAGTTTATCTGGCGGTGTGCATGAGTTGTGATTGACCACGCACTCTTTGGGTGTGTCGACGTAAGTTCTGCCCTTAAAATGGCAACTGCCCCTTAGACAATTTCCCCTTCGGATAACCATTCCTGGACAACTACCAGGAAAAAAAAGACCAACCCCTATGTCAATTAACTTATAAAGATACATTGAAAGTAAGGCCGTATTTGGAACAAAGTGTGCCTTGAATCATGCTAGGATATGTCGAGCAACTTAGAATACCCCACAATAAAAGTTGATAAGTCTGCTACGTGATTGCCGCTTCACCAACGTCAATGAAGCTATCACATTCAGCGCATGGTTCCTATAGCTCAAATATATATTTTCAAATATAAAGTGAAAGGCGTAAATATTCCAAAAAAAGAATGAAACGCCGATAATACCAAACAACAACAAATAGCACACCCTATAACCTCAACCCACAATCCGAACGCTATAACCCTTACCCTAAGCATAATCACAACTTTAACATTGTGCGTTGGTCGTCTATATACTCGCCGTTGGTTGGGGGTCGTAAAGTTAAGCCTGTCATTTTTCTTTCTGCTAATTCGACGAGGGACAATTTGAATCAGGGCACACAATATGTCCTGGACACACCCTACACTTACAGGCTCTTCACGTTGGCTCGTTAACCCTAAACCTTTTCACACCTTTCGAACCATTGTTATTCAGTGAAAGGGAATTTATGTGTGTGCCTTCAGGCGACAAAATCATTTCTTTGTAGTAGATTCAAAGACAATAGGGGCAGTTACACTGTCATCCAAACACGCCAAAAAATGCCAAACCGGAGCCTGGCCGCGATGTTACCAAGGGCAACTACGCTTTACCGGCAGACATGCCAAGCCCCAAACATTCCAAAACGAAGTGTGATCTTTTGGCGTGTTTTGGCGTGTTTTGGCGTGTTTGGCAAGTATAACCGCTCGCAGTTGTAACATCGCGATGTTAGGCACGTGACTTCCGGCACTTCCGGATTGTTACCCGCGCTCTTTTAAACCACGTTCTTCCCGTGTGATATTTATAGCATTTCCATCGTCGCGCGTGTTATCCGTTCATTCAGCTCCGTTTGTTCCAATTCCGTTAACTCATCCTTTATTCAATCTTCGTTATTCCCGTCTGGCCATATCTGTCTAGTAGTAGTATTTGAGTGTTTTGTTAGATTAATTAATATGGAAGTGAACAATTCCCATTGGACTGATGATGAGATGAAGTTCTTGATTTCGATGTGGAGGCAGGGAGAGCTCCTCCACCAGACTTCCAAGCGTCCCTCCCGGCCCCCCCCCCCACTCAGTGTTATTTAGGGTACGCATATGCGTGTTCCAACCGACCCCCCCCCCCCCCTTTTCAGCAAAAGTCCGGTGTGTAAAGTCAATACGGCTCGACCTTTTTCTTTTGTATACCCCCCCTTTTCAGCAAAAGTCCGGTGTGTAAAGTCAATACGGCTCGACCTTTTTCTTTTGTTACGAAAAGGACATTTTGGCAACACGCATGCGGTCATTTTGAAACCTGAGTGGGGGGGGGGGGGGGGGGGGGCCGGGGCGTCCCTGCAAACGTGGGGAAAAGGGCTTCAGAGAAATGAGTGAAAGCATGAAATTAACAATTAACAACGATGATTTTCTTAACCTTCCCATATCGTTTTTACTACTAGATTTCGATTGAATTTGGGAAAACTGAATCAGCAGCCGTAGTCCGTACTTCGTAACTTATCCACTCTTGCCTCAAATACTACACGCGAGATAAACAAAACATATCGCATGCATGCGCATGGGATGTATCGCTATTTAGCTAGCTATAGCGCTAGCTGGAAATTCTCGCTACCCCAAATAGCGATTCTGCCGAGATCCGGGGAAAATCCTGAAAACGCGCATTGCATTATGGGATAGCTTTTCGACATTACAGCTTCCTGTGCAGGCGTTCGTGATCACAACCCTCTCTTTCACGGTAGAGTTTAACGGCCTTTTGTGCTAAAGTCACTAATTCTGCCCGAAGCTTTCCATTGCATATTATAATCTGTACAAATTACACTGATTGGCATCGATTTTAGCGTGCGTGAAAACTCTACACAGCGAACACAGGCGCTAGCGCCAGCGGGATGGGACTCTATACCGGAAGTTGTAGTGACGACCCGAGAGAGTGAAAATTACCTCGTCTCGCGAATTTCGAGATTTTCGTACCTATTTAGGGTAGCGAGAATTGCGCGCGCTAAAAATCTTATAGCAGGCCGGGGTCAAAGGTCGGGAAGACTGCACATGCGCATTACCAACCGAAACACGCCAAAACATCGCTGAACAGCTCCGTCGGTGATGTTTCAGCACAAGTGTAACCGGGTGCACGAAACATCGCGACTTTTCAAAATGAGGTATTTGACAGTATAAATGCGCCTATTGTCATTGATTGGAGTTTAAAAGGTCTGGTTCCATGAAAGACCAATTATACCCTAGCCACGCTAGCAAAACTAAGTCCACGTCCTCTCCAAGCAATAGGCCATTTTCGTATTGTAACCAAATTTAATGCATAAGTCTTTGTGAAGTGCCTCAATACATATTATTTCATATGAAAAGAATAATATTATTGCAATAGACAGAATTCGAACTGCATGCATTAGTTGTTGTCAGGTTGGACAAACATCATGGCTTGACCTCCCAAGCAACACTTAATAAATGCAGTTTGCATTCTGACTATTGAAATACTATTTATATTCTTGTCAGGTGAACGAAATAACTTGTATTGAGGCACTCCACAAAGACTACGAAAATGGCCTATTTTTGGCGCGTCGGTCTCGTTGGTGTAACTGAGGTCTAATGATATCGTCCTTATTGTTTTAGTGTTGTGAAGGGCGGAAGGAGGGGGGGGGGGGAGTAGATGTTCTCTTTCTTTTTCTTCTTTTATCACATATCTTTTGCCTACTTTTTATCATAACCCTTTGTTTTCACTTTGAAGGAAATTTTGAAAAATTATCGTGGAAAAGACGTGAAACAATTGGAAATCTATATGCAAGCTGGACGAGGAAATATTGTAAACAATTTTAGGTCCGATTTGTTTAAAATGTGAACTATAATTTTGTTTATGTGGATATTTTCCTTCTTAATGTGTAACTTCATCTACAAATAAATTAAAAATGAACAATTTATTGGTAACTTTAAAGTAAATGTTCACTTGCAAAGTTGAAGATTATTTGTTATAAATTTTCTTTATGAGAGAAATGAATAAAAATCTATGAAGAAAAAAAAGGGGGAAAAAAGAGACGGTTTCCTTCATGGGCCCTGTCTTTCAAAGAGTTACAATTATTGATCCATACTGATCGCAAGTCCTCCAATCAATTGCAAACTTACTAAATCCTAGTATCTCCTTGGGACAGGGTTGCGAGTGATATCAAGTGAAATGGAACGGATTTGCACCTTGAGGCGACAAAATCATTTCACATTGTTATCGTATTCAAAGGCATTGACATTGATGGAAGCTTAAAGGCCCGGTCACACTGCCAAACCGACTCCACGTCGATCCATTTCTTGCCATTCGTGGTAAGGTATCTTTTTGTTCGGTCTGTGGTCGGTTTCCTCGGTGTGACTGACGTATGACGGTATCGTTCCCCAAACTGTTTCCTTCCTGTGCCCTGCTTTAATAAGAGTTGCGATTGATCCAGATTGATTGCAAGTCGTTCAATAAATCGGAAACTCAAAGTCTTGTATATCTTTAGTAGAGTCGCGATTGATCGAGTTGTGATTGATTGGAATCAGTTGCAACTATCTATAAGATAGGGCCTTGGAATTTATTTTAAAAAGGGTATTATTTTGAAAAAGGGTACTGGACATGCCATAATGTTCAAGAAAACCGGCCCTAAAGACATACTGCCACTGGCATAAATTGGAGAGGTGAGAGTCCCCGCCCCCCCCCCCCCCCGGAGTCGGAATGACCGCATGCGTGTTACCAAAATGTCCGGTAAAGGGGTACTTTTCACGCACCAAAGTCCGGCTCGTACATACATAAAATTGACTTTACACACCGGACTTAGGGGGTGTTTTCAAAAGGAGGGAACACGCATACGCGTACCCTAAATAACACTGAGTGGGGGGGGGGGGGGGGGGGGGGGCCGGGTGAGAGTCGCAACACCGATATCCTCTTTCCACATAAAGTTTAGGAGAGTACGGGGGTGCATATATCGTTGGTTTTCATTGTAATTTAGATAGATAGTTTAGATAGTTTATTGGTTTCCATAATATCTCATTTTACAAAGAGTGTAACAACATATTGAAAATGATTATAATATACATTTATACAATACCGGAACAAACTATTCACAATATTGCCCATTAAGTTGAACTTAAGAGATATAGTGGCGGAGCCTATGGAAAAGCAGAGCTTGTTGTGGATATGCTCCTTAAACTACAAATGACATAATGAACTAAAGTAAAGTTTATAAAATACAATATACACACTAAAACAGGGAAAGGGAGATTACAGGGATACAAGAACCGATACTCACAATTAACTCCAAAAGACAAGGAAAAGGGAAGGGAATATATCTGCAGCTTAGTAAAACAATATTACAATATAGTTTGTTCTCGATATGAGTATATTATAAACAAATTGCATGGTCATACCGTTATTTACTAATTGTAATGAACATAAGTATATAGAGCTTGGAGATAAGATTATTCAGGAATCAGGAATGACAATATGTATTTAAATAATAATATTTCAATTTCTTCTGAATACATGTACACTTACAGACCTCTTAATCACAGAATTGAGAGAATTTCAGAACTTAGGACCTGTATTATATTAAGGTATTTTGAGCAAAGCGTGTTCTCGTTCTAGGAAGGTGATAGGAAAACGCATGTCGGGTAGGATAGTCGTGGACTTGATTTCTTTTCTTAAACAAATAAGATAGTGCCTGGGGCAGTTTGTTGTTATTCAGCTGAAACATGAGGCAGCCTAGCTGTAAATTAAAAAATATCCCGAACTCTCAGTACTTTAGTATTAAAGAAAAGAGGGCTCGAGTGAGTACGAATAGGTACATTGCAAATTGTTCGTATTGCTCTCTTTTGAACAACCAGGATTTTGTCCAGTTGAAGTTTTAATAAACTACCCAGGCAAGAATACCATAGTTCAAGTAGGGTAACATTAAAGTGGAGTACAATATTTGCAATACATAATTATAATGGGAACATAGGTTTCAGTTTGTATATCACACCAGCATTTCTTGATAGTAATGAACACAAATATTGTGTATGTATTTTCCAGGACATTCTATAATCAATAAACAGGCCAAGAAACTTGGTCGATTTTACTTTCTTAATTTTGACATTGTTGAAATAGATATCTCCACGTAAATTGGAGATTGAATTGCTAAATAATATGACATTAGTTTTGTCCAAGTCCGGTGACAGTCTATTCGCAAAAATCCACTGTGCAATATTCTCAAGTTCCGAATTTACAGTTTCAACAAGAATTTGAGGATTCTGATGAGAATAAATTATGCTTGAGTCATCTGCGTATAGTATAAATGACAATAGTTGGGATGAAATTTGAAGTCATTTATATATGTTATGAATAGTAGAGGCCCTAAAAGAGATCCCTGAGGAACACCGCACGTGACAGGCTTGACACTCGATGCAATCCCATTTAATGAAACAACTGAGTTCGACTACTGAGGTAACTTTTGTACCACTCCAACGCCTTACCCCTGACACCACACTGTGATAAGGGAACCGCCCTACACAATTAGTCGTTTTCAAAACATATCCACTCATTTTCATCTTATCTATCATATCTTCGCACATCATAGAGAAGTAAGGAATCCTTATTATGGGCATAGCAAAGGTAACGACATACAGTCATGCTGTTATAAGTTCCGATTAAAAAAAAAAAACTTCGCATGTTCGCAATGTTTTCAATATATCAGTTCGTACTTAGCTGTAATATAAATGACCCACAAACATCCCCCGATCCTTTACTCACGGACACGTCACAGAACAATCACTGCCAGTCATAATAAATGGCTTTCATTTGCCCTCTTAAAAAGAATATTTTACAACCTGTGTATCATAGAATGTACGTCATGAATGCATAAATAAGTGCGTTCAGGAATGATGCTTACATTTAACTGTCACGAAAATATATCCAGCAGTTGTCTCGATGTGTTTGGCAAAAATGACCTTTGGCTGCCCCGATGCTAAAATCGTAATTCCGAACTGGCTTCTTATTTGCCTGGTTGTAGTGTCCCTTTATAAAGGGACTTGGGTCGCAGAGCCATCTATACACAGAGTTTGGCCAACTTGGTTTCACTGGGTCACAACATGGCGTATACTCTTTTGTTTTGTGCTTGCCCAACAAAGCAGTAGTCGCCATATTGTGTCCAACTCGAACCGGGTTGGCCAAACTCTCCTAATCAATGGCACTGCTGTGTCGGAGTCAACTACCCCATCTACGGCAAATCCAGGTAGTCGTGCTTAGTTCACTGATCGAGATGTTCATCAAGCAATCAGCCAGTGGGGTAACTCTACAAAGCTATAGCTATAACTATAGCTTAAGAAAGGGGCACAGGCTTCATGAGCCCCCGATCAAATAGAGATTCAAATTCGGGGGGGGGGGGGTGAGGAGAGAAAGAGAGAGAGAGAGAGAGAGAGAGAGAGAGAGAGAGAACGAGATCGAGGGGAAAAAGCCGCCATCTTCTGTTAAATATCCTTCTCTAGGATCGTACATCTTTAATAGTGCAGAACAGATTACTTTCTTCAAAAGAGTAACGGCACATTTACTTCCTCATCCCTCTTCGCTCAAGAAAAGTAAAGCCATGTTCTTGTATATTTAGAAGGTGTGAAGCTTTTAAATGGAGTTGGCACTCTGACATATAGATTATATTAAAACACCTGTCTAATAATATGCTCTAGCTCAGCATGTTATTAATGCGTAACATTTCATCACGACCGTGACTGTGGCCTCTTGTCTCCCGCTCATTAAGTAAGCCCCGGTCACACAATGATAATGCAAACCTTAACCATCAAAGCGATTCCAACTTCCTGCTCATACAGTACTCTGTCCAGGTTGTCTGTAACAGCCTATTTTATTTTTTTTGCGAATTCCAGATTTTTGAGGATTTATTAATACGAATGTTCATTTTTTTGATGTTCAGTGATGGTTCTTTCGTCGGTATTTCTGATGCTGTATAGTTCGTGAAGTTCATAGTTTCGAAATGAAATAAAATAGAATGGATTCATTATGATCATGATTATGAGCAGAGAGAGAGAGAGAGAGAGAAAAAAACGAGAACAGAATGAGGAAGAGAAGGAGAGGAAAGAATGGAGAAAGATTTTTTTTAAAGATAAAGAGAGAGAGAGAGAGAGAGAGAGAGAGACAGAGAGACACACACACACACACACACACACACACATCCACACTGAGGAAAGGTGGAGAGGAAGGAAGAGAGAGAGGGAGAGATAGAGAGAGGGGGAGAGAGATAGATATTGTGTGCCTGAACTATCATCCCCCATGCTCATCTCTGGTAGCTCGCTCCGTACGCCTGCCTTCTTTATAATGAGGTCTTAATGGCCCCAATAAGAATGGTTTCATCATACTGACGGCGTTGCCATTTGGCAAACTCGTCAACATGATGAAGCTGAAAACCTATACAGTCTTTGTCTGTAAACCACTGTATTCCTACACGTACACCATGTAAACAGGGGCCTTAGTAGAGGATTAATATTCAGCGACCTGCTGATGATATTCATTCAGTGACATTATGCTTACGGTGGTGATGCTGATCATTTTTAAAATCCTATAATTTCAGAATTTTATTTCAATGCATTATTCAAAATTTGAATGGTATCTTGACTGACTATCAACTCTCTTCAGTGTTTGCATTTTGTGAGAAGGCGGAAACGAGCGGGCAAAGATACTGATATTTAATCATGTCAAGAACAACCTTTAGAAAAAACAAGAATGAATGGAAAATTAGATACGTTGGGAAACCGGTCTATTGGTGTATCGTTAAATGGGAAGCCATCCATGCGCCGAGTTCCTAACATTATAATATTTATACCAATTTCCGTCCCGCGTGTTTGCCGACCCTCACAGGCTAAGCATATCAATTGAAATTACCCCGACAATGGAAATTTTCCCTACGACTCGCTGTAAGAATCCCCTATCTACGTCTTTGATCTCTCAATTGTCCTCATTTTGAAGCTAAAGTGCCTAGATACGATCTGCGCATGTGCAATTAAAGGCAATTTGTATGGAAATGGTGAAACCCACCGAGACAAATATGCTGGATACGTGCACATGAAAGTTATGATGAACAGTACAGTACAGTGTGTGGAACACAGGTGGAAGTACTCTTCTACAGAGGGCAAACAAAATGTATCTTGGAGCACCCCCATGACTTTGGTAGTGATTATTCTCAAATGCACAAAATTGGACATCTCTACGCGTAAAAGATCTGTGGATATTTGGGGTCATTGTACTATTTGTAATACGAAGATGCGAACAAATTAGATGGTGCGCCCGCACGGTCTTCCCGCGGTGCACTCGACTCTTTTCTTTGTTAAAAGGTGGCTCTTCGAATCCTATTGATGCATGCCCTTCGATCAATCGTAAAAAACTGGCGATAAATATACCTCCTTGGAACACCAATATTTACTGGTAGAAGAACCATAGAACATACACCGGGAATGAAGGACTATGTGGAAAATGACACGATGGAATTTGGAGAGGAGGAGAAGAAGGTAGAAGAGGAGAGAGACGAGAAGAGAAGAGAGAAGATGGCCGAGCGCGGAAATTGGAGCGGCAAGTTGGATTTTTTTCTCGCGCTTTGCGGTTCCTCTGTCGGTCTTGGAAATGTGTGGAGGTTTCCGTATCTATGCTACAAGCACGGAGGGGGTACGTATTTCTATGCATGGCTGGAAGATTTCTAGCCATTCGAACCATATCACGATTTATCTTATCCTAAATTGCTTATCCATGTTATGTTTGCCTCCTCATTACTACATTTCTCCCTTTCCCCGTTTTCCTTTTGCATTTCTCCTGTTTCCTTCGGCTTATGAATCACTGCTTATACATAACAAACGATACAATCCTTAGTACACCATGTATTATAAATCCTTTTGATTGATGTTAAGGTTAATATCGAGCGCAAGTCTATGGCTCATTGTGTATTGATCAAACGTAAGATCAATCGTAACTGTTTATAATATCTCAGCTACTAGCATATGTTCTGCTTGCCTCTTTCTTTTGTCTGTTTGCATGTCTATCCATTTACACAATTTATTAAATTACTGTACACATTTCTCAACTGCAATTTACGCATTATTCACCGGCGGTGTTTTTTTAAGAGGCTGATTAAGACAAAAAATGTAGATGATAACATAACATTTGGCGTTCTGTCCTGTGCGTGTCATGTACTTATAATAGTAATAACTCAGTTATACTTCCAAACAGAATATAGACCGACTAATAACCGACAAATTTTTGTTCTGCCCTAGGGCTAATGTAATTAATTTATTTAGTCTGTTGTCCGTCTTGTCGATGTGACTGTGACTGAGGATCATGAAATGGTGATTTATTTCCCCCTATTTTGTCATAAAAAAAAATAGAATATTCTCTTTATTTGACCATTAAACAGACCTGATAGCGTTTCGGTATCATCACTACCATTAAACGTAGTCACATCAGGAGAGTTTTCATTCATGGATGAAATGTATAGTTAAATATCACATGTCGTATGCCATGCACCGAATCAACCAAATCATCGAGTCAGAATTACATACGAGAAAACATATATATTTATTATCCAATAATATTTGAATCGTTTCAGTCAGATATTACTTATATTCATCCATAAATTGCTTTAAAAAAAAAATGCAATTCCCACCAGGGGCGAATCCAGCCGGCGGGGGGGGGGGGGGGGGGGGGGCGATTTGTAAACAAATATTTTTCACACTCAATTCGTGCGATTTGGTGTATACTTTTTTGCCAGGATATCATTTAAAAACTGTGATCTTTTCCAGCATATATTTATGATAAGCCTTCGATTTCTAGGAGGTTCTTCTCTTTGTTAACTTGTTTACAATTTGATGAATTAACAAAAGTGATTACTTCCTGTTTTCTATGATATGTCTAGGTGATGGACGTGATTGATGGGCTATTATAATAAAAAGCGAATCAAGAAATATTGGATTTTGTATTATGATTTTCAACAACATCAAGCAAATAGTGAGCTTCTGATAATTGGTAATGGTAATTTTTAGGGAAAAGCAAACTAAGCAACGACACTTTGTTGATTTTTAGCGACAACCGTTCGCTATGGCTGCTCTTTGATACTTCCATGACATGCTGTAACAAATTGGAATTTCAGGACTCATGACAAATAGGCCATTTTCGTAACGTAACCAGGGGCGGATCTAGCTTTTTGTTAAGGGGGGGTTGACCAATAATGACGATGCGGAGCATCGTCCACGAGCCGCGAAGCGGCGAGCCGATTTTTTTGGGGGTGTTTATTTCAACCCCGTAAGTGATGTTTTCCTGGCATCTATTAACACAATGGAGACCATAAAAAGCAGTGCATGATAACGTCTTTTTAAATCAAGTATCAGTTAAATACACAGTTATATCCAGAGTTATCATGTGTTTGGTTAAGTTACCAGATGAGTTGAATATCTTCTCACAATATTTGCACTTGAAAGGGTTTCTCTCCAGCGTGCGTTCTTTTTTCTTTCTTTTTTTCTTTTTTTTTTTTTTTTTTCCCCCTTTTTTTTTGGGGGGGGGGCCGCCCAAGGGGGGGGGGGGGTTTAAACCCCCTAAACCCCCCCGTAGATCCGCGCCTGGTAACCAAATTTAAAGCAAAAGTCTTTGTGAATTGCCTCAATACAAGTTATTTCATTCACCTGATAAGAATAATAGTATTTCAATAGTCAGAATGCAAACTGCATATATTAAGTGTTGCTAGGTAGGTCAAGCCATAATGTTTGTCCAACCTGGCAACAACTAATGCATACAGTTCGGATTCTGTCTATTGAAATACTATTATTCTTTTCAGGTGAATGAAATAATATGTATTGAGGCAATTCACAAAGACTAATGCATTACATTTGGTTACATTACGAAAATGGCCTATTCGTTTAACAGTTGATTTCGCTTGGTTGAGTCCAGATATAAAGGTGAACATTCTCATCCTTAACGACGAAGTATTATTATTATTCTAATTTTTTCACCGCCTTTACAATGCTATTTGAATGGGGAGAAAAAACCAATGCTATGCTTACTGGGAGAAGTTTTAATTGTTGTTAAGAAATTTTAATTGATTCCGCTCGGTTGATAAATTCAATTTTTCGGATGATTAAGCTGAGAAATTTGACATTCTCACGACCAACGACCTTGCATTATTATTCTTATTTGTTCTTATAGTCTCTACGATGCTATTTGTAAAGCGCTTAGAGACATTTGTATTAAGCGCTATATAAAAGCTTAATATTATTATTATTAATATTATTATTATTATTTGAACAATATTTGATAACAATAAACGGCACTCCGGTACTATTTTCGTGTAGCGTCACGTTGTAATCACGTGGCAGATAAATGATCACCAGCACCCACTTCGACATATTATTATTATATTAAAGTTACGAAGAATGATCCTTATGCTATGGTCACATTACCCAAAAGTTGCCTGCTCGGCGGCCGAGCGGCGAGTTTTTAACCAATTCTGCCCGGCGGCTGCTCGGCCACCGAGCGGCGGCCGCCCAGGCATCGCTCGTTTTTAGGGCATCGCTCGGTCGCCGCTGAAGTTTTAGCGCGGAGTTAAAATTTGGGCGGCGCCTGCTCACTTTTTACTCGCCGCCCAAAATACGCTCGGTGCCTGGGCGGTCGCCGGCCGGCACCGACCTAATTGCTGGGCGATGCCTAAATTCCAGCAGCGACCGAGCAGGCTACTGATCGGTCGGTCGCTGCTCAGATTTGTGACCATAGCATTACCCTTGGTTAATGAAGAAGACAACGACCCCCTCCCAAAGCCTCCGCACTCACATTCCGAGGAACGTTACTTTAATGTCAAGTGAATTAGTGACGTCAGATGCGATAGAGCTATATAGGTAAATGTATAAAGCACACATAGGCCAATGCACTTCGACCGCAAAGCTATAGCTTTCAATGCAATGGAAACTGGGCTGACCAGATTGAACGTGATAAAACAGAAATACGAAGTTGTAAACCATCAAGAGAATATCACAATTTGTTGTTTCAAGTTTTCTTTATTGATAACTGAATTTCTTATGACTCGGTACTAGATGACCGCCATAAAACAACTACCAACAACTACCAACAACAACAACAACAACAACAACTTCGACCACTATTACCCACTGGTGTGGGCCTATGCGATATGTGCGTATGTATGTGTGTGTGTGTATGGAGGGGAAGGGGAACCCGACGACGTAGCCCCTTACACAATTTTTTAATCACCTCATACTCGAGGAATGAGGTGATTTATTTTAAATTTTCTTATTATGTAAAATATTAAGATAAAATGAAATTTTCACTATAATAAAATTACATTTTCTTTCTTAATTTTTAAAAAATTTGTATAACTCTTATACAAAATGTAGAAACTCGAAAGTTTAGATTCGGGCAAACGGATAATAACCCCCTGGTGAATTGTTTCATCACCATCATTTTTTACAGTTATCATCATCACCGCCATTATCATCACCAGCATCATTACCATCATCATCACCATGGTCATTACCATTATCATTACCATCAGCATCTTCATCATTATCATCTTCATTACCATCATCATCACCATTAATATCATCATCATCTTCATCATCATTATCTTCATCATCATTATCATCATCATTACCATCATCATATAACCATCATCAACATTATAATGAAGCATGCTTTATAATGTTCCGTTACTGAACTGCATGCAGGCTTACTATGAATTTAGTAGAAGAGAATGTCAAGGTAAGAAAGAAACAATCAACAAATATTATCATGGAGTTAGCAAGAGCTTTCAGGTAAAACAAACATAAGGGGTGAACGACCGGTTTTCAGTTATAGCATATATGAATCACTGGTACATCATTTTTACTCGATACCTTAATCCAATTAACCTAGATGCCACAGGGGTTAAGAAATGATACGAGGGGAGGGGGAGGGAGGGGGGGGGGTGCATTCCTCGTGTTTATAAGGAGAAACTATGCATGTAATCGTATGGTAATAATAGTCGTTCCTTATAATGATTATCCAAGTCCGATTTTCTTAGATGTTTAGTATGTTGTCAAATACTACCGGAAACCGTTGAAAAGCCTTTTGTTACAATTTATGAGGGGTTGGGGCATTTTTCAATAATTTAATCCGACTATAACATATATAAAGCGTTTTGCCAACGTTTCTTCTCTTTCTCAACCCCTGCATATCACTACCATCCCGTCCCTCATCTATAATCTCTCATCTCTCCTCTCACCAGGCTTTCTCCTTTTCTTCTCTCTCCCCTCTCTTTATTTCTCTCTCTCTCTCTATCTCCCCTCTCTTCATCTCTCACTGTCTTTCTCTGTCTCCCCTCTCACTTCTCTTTCCTCTCTCTCACTTCTCTTTCCTCTCTCTCACCCTTCTTTATTTTGTTTTTGTTTAAGTCCCCTCTCTCTCTCTCTCGTCCCTTCCTCCCCTTCTCTCCCCTTCTCCCCCTCTCCCCCTCTCACTCCCTTCTCAGTCCCCTCACCCTCTCCCTCCCTACCTCTCTCTGAACTTCTAAAATGACAAGTTCCTAGAAAACCATCCATCATCGTAAATCTTCGGGGATCAGACATGATATTGTTCGAGGGTCCTGGGTATAAAAATGAGTCATAACTACGTGACACTAGAAACTCAACACAGAG